AAGGAAACATCAGCGCCTCTATAAATATATATATATTATTTATCAGCGTAACAAACTGCGTCGATTGGCCATGTCGTTTTGCCTGTCCGTTTATTTGTAGATGTTTATGCAAACTAGCCCCTGATATCGACACAAAATTTTACACACGTGCTTTTCTCATCAACACGGTGCTCATTTGATGGGAATTAAGTGCTTGCATTAAAAGCTTTGTCATTTGGCGAGATATATCCAAGAAATTTTGCATGCATTATTATTTGAGGTAATAATGCAATCTTCGCAGAAATTGTTAAGATCAAATCACTATAACATATAGCTGTCATACAAACTGACCGATCAAAATCAAAATAAAGATCTTTTTATTCACCTTTATGCTATAGAAAATATAGCTTCGGTACAGTCGAAGTTAACGTTTTTCTTTATCAGCAGAATTCTTTGCCTTTGTTGGCCTCCTTAATTTTCTTGCTAAAAACAGGCATTCGCTTTTTTTATCGCTATCTCAAAATGTTATATTAGAAATACGAATGCCTCCTTGTATACCTAAATATATATTTTTTTATAGATATTAGTCAATCGAGTTTATTTTTTAATTAATGTGTAAACAGATTCATTTGGGCAATAGTTAAGAATACTTTTATAGAGAGTGTTCCAGAAAAACTATAAAGTATCGTAACTCTAAGCTTATAAAAGAACACTCAAGTAACTAAACTCATTGAAAAGCCAAAATCATTATCAGTAAATTTACAAAGCTTCAATAAATAAACGGGAGGCATACTCCTCTGCAAACCAAATAAAAATTTTGCACTTTACACTATACGAACATGCTCTTTGAATAAACAGTGGAGAAAGACTAAAAATCGTCACTTCGTCATCATCGTGAGATACAAGCAAGCAGCCCTTAAGTGGCCGTGTGACCTAAAATAGAAAAAGGAACAAAAGTGAAATCAAATAAAAACAATTACCTACAACCGAAAGTAGCTCATTATTTGCTTTTAAATTTCAATTGTGCACATTAGCCGTCTTTTAAATGAAGCCGAATGGCAGAACACGAAATATAATTCAAAAATTAAAAATAAAAAAGAAAATAAAAACAGAAAATGGAACTTAATAAGTAAAAATTTGTTTAGCTTGCGACTTGCAGCGATTTAATTAACTTTTCTGTTTGTATAAAACACCTGTGGACACGCAAGCAAGTTGTGCGCCGCTAGCAGGGTCGAAATACTTTATGTAACGCGAAGCTCATTTCGGCTGCTTGAACGTTTAAGAGCGCTTGGGAAAATGTTCGAGGTATTCCCACATTGTTCGTTGCGGGTCTGCATACATAACAAACTTGACTGACCTTGTTTATGCACAAAAAGAAATTTTTTTTTATTTTGGTGTCTTTTCACATTTCTTGTTCTTCTTCGCTTTCCGACCCTTTTTGTAGGCTAGTCTATACAATTTGTATACATTTTTAATTTACCTGGTGTTTACTCGCTAAATTGAATATCATTTCACTTCACAGCGCCAACAATACCGCCAGCATACTCTGTAAACTGTTTACTGGCCAGTTTTCTTGGAAAAATATGAAACTTTGTAGAGGCAGAAAAATTGTTTAGTTTTTGAATTTGCCTTTTGCGTATTCGATTTGTTTGGATGGCAATCCGACGACGGCAGTCGCTTACAATGTTTTTTTTTTTTTGCTTATGGCTGTTGTATAGTTTTAATTGAAGTTTTTTGGCCTTTTGTTAATAAAAAAATGCATCTTCTTATCGTCTCCAACGTTTTTATTGAAATTTTGCATACAGTACATTATTACGCACAGCCTTCACTGCGTATGAGCAACATTCTTTGTAATATTAATTGGAAATTCTGTTGTTCCGCTATGTGAATGCGCCAGCGGCTACAAAGTTAAAGCATTTATTGCTCGACAACTTACTCCAATTATGCAAATTTTCTTGCAACAGCAACACATACATGGCCTGATACGTACTGCGGAACATTTTCCGTTAAATTTATGCGCATATCAGAGCTTTTCTAGTGTGCGCCGTTCAGCTGCAGGGTACATTAGCATTTCTTTTATGCTTGTCGACTTTAAGGAAAATATTTTAAGCAAGTGTTCTTGGCTACAATAGGGATGCGGTGTAAATAGTAACATACGCCTGAGCCTAGAAGTCGTGGGCACACGTTCTGTTATTAAGGCGTTAACCATCTCAATTGAAGTAGCAATGTTTCATTTGCATACGTATTAAGGCAGCTGTCACGGAGGCGCATATTATTTATATTATCTTTATCATTATTATTATCTTTACTTCTTTCATATGCCTTTATATTTTCTTGTACTTTTATCATATTATTTAATTTTAACTTTAAGTTCAGTTTACTTTTACTTTTAATTTTAATTTTAAATTTAATTTTTATTTTAACTTTAACTTGCACTTTCAATTTAACTTTAATTTTAATTTTAATTTTAATTTTAATTTTAATTTTAATTTTAACTTTAAATTTAACTTTAATTTTAACTTTGACTTAACTTTAACTCTGACTTTGACTGTAATTTTAGCTATTTGAACCGGTTTAAAAAAAGTTACGTATAAAAATGCCGTTACTGTCGCAAAACTTTTTCTTTTGTGCCTTCTCCATGTTTAATTAATTGCCAACTCTTTTACCACTTTAAATCCATAGACATGCAAATTACTTACAATTTAATGAATATTTAAGTAAAATGAAAATGCGTTTCGTGAGCAGTGAGTGCTCTTACACAGGCTTTTAAGTAAAAAAAATTCAAAATAAAAGCATGCCAATGCATCGAAAGTGTATGTCTGGTAACTTGCCAAAAAATTGTGAAGCAATATTCATAAAAGGAATACAAATTTATACTGAAAATGGAATGCAGAAATGTAGGTGCTGGTTTGGAGGATGAGCTGTCTAAATGTCTTGAAAGAATATATTTGAGATATTGAGTAATTTTTCGGCAAAAATATTTCAAACAAAAATGTAGAGATACTAGAACATCAGCTTTTTGAAAATAAAAATTACTTAAAATAATTTTATCTATAGATTGTTGCTTCAAATTTCCCACAAATGTTACTAAATTAATAAAAATGCCTATATGTAACCACATAAATATAAACAAGCACATAAATTAAATGGAAATAAATTTGAGTAAATATTTGGTTGGATAAATGTTTACACAGCAATAAAATATGTAAATTAGCTTATACAAAACGGTACTTAAATGCATATATATATACTAAAGCGCAGACAAAATATTTATTTTACTCCTCTATTAACACAAAAATTAACTAATTTACATATTTTTACTTTCTTTGTTGCATCCAATTTTGCTGCACTTAGTATATTAGTATACCATTGTTCAAAATTGTTGACGCTTTTTTATAAGAGCCTGAGTTTCTATCAAGTATGTATTTGTTTTAGAAATAAGTTAACTTAAAATAAATAAATAAGCGCTTAAAATACACAAGCACACACATGGTAGTTGCATCTAGAAGCGTGTGTCGATGCGTATACGTAACTACGAGAAGAGAACATTTAGCACTTTATAGCAAATTTTTACTAAGGAATTCTAAAGAAGAATGTTTGTTAATAAATTATTTGGTTTAGTTGAAACACATGCGAGAATTACACTAATACATAAACATACATATGCATATCTGCTGACAGATTTTCATGTGAATTTTTTCTATGCCAGCAAAAGAATAGAATTGGTTGTTTGGCCTGAGATAAGTTCTGCTATGTAACATATATATTATATGTACATATATCGGTAATGCAGATTCACGATTATTGGGTCAAATTATTCCATTTTAACGGTTTTATAGATCAAAATAAGGTTTTTCTATGCCTTAAACCGTTGAGAACGACTAACGTATACCCTTTGAGAAACTGTTATATGACAAATATTTTCTGTAACAGACAGTACAGGTGTGATGTAATTTATCGCTCTTTCGTACCAACTTGGTTATAAACTGTAAGTAATACTTGGTGCTCATTTATTCAGTGAGTTATCGCACATTTAGTAGTATTCAACAAAATCGTTATATGAGGCGTGTTCATTATCTGATTATGTGATTTTACTTTACTTGTATGAAGAAATGCTGAAAAAACTTTTTCTCCGTAAGTTTGGTTGGGTTGGCTGAGCGCTTTGGAAGATATGTCCCCCATTTAGGGAATGGTGTGACGCCCACTATAAACAATATTTTTTGCCCACAGGTGTCACTCGCTACCGCTATCTCCTCTACCAAGTTACAGTTTTGAATCTTAACTTGGAGCTTAGCTATAACACAGTATAAGTTTTCGTTTAGTGTCATTTTGTGAACCTGTGAGTGGCCCGATTACGCTTGTGCGCCAAGGAATATACAATATGTACCAAGTTTCACCCAGATATCTCAATTTTAACTCAAGTTATCGCTTGCACGTACGGACGAACAGACAGTCATTTGGATTTCAACTCGTCTGATCATTTATATATATATAACACTATATCTATTTCGATTAGTTTAAGGTTGTACAAACGACCGTTAGGTGAACAAACTATGTTGCATGAGTAAAAAAATATAATACTCTATTTTCATAAAATTTAAGTGGAATGCAGAAGTGCTTACGTAATAAAATTTTTGTAGGGATACTACTTTCAGACATAACAAAAATAACATGAAGGATACTATGGTTAAGAAAAATGTACCGTCCTAACTTAGGAAATATTCTAAGTCAGCAGATTTATCATAAAAGATTTCTCTCCGTAATGAAACCCTGTAAGTTACCGCCCCTGACCGTAGAATTTTCGAGTATTTTTCTTGAGAACAGTTAAAGTTTGTCACACTCACGTGTTGCGATTGTTCCCTTTTTTTTAATGCACTTTACTTTGGATTTCAGCTCGATTCGTTACAATTTCGAACCGATAAATCAAATTTTTAAATGCAGTTACCATCCAGCTAATAAGTAACTTTTCAGAATGTTCAAATCTTTGTTTAACTAAATTAATTCTTTATGTGTATTTCCAGAAAAAAAAGATGACAACAATGCTTACAATTTAAGGTAAATTTCTCTCTTGAACTTTCAAAAAAAAAAATAGTCCACTAATTATTTTTATTATTTTTGTAATTTTTGTTAAACATTACCACCACAAAGTCGCCAGCAGTTGCGTTTTGAAATTTCAAATTATGTAGGCATATGCATTCTAAAATGCCGTTAGCAAACAAAAGCAGATTCCACCAACTCTTGCACCACCAAGAGCACAAAATGTTTTAGTGGCGTATTCAATGGTTTCACTGGCATTTTGCCAACACCAGGCAATGCCATAATTTTATGTGGAGTAAAAAGCGGCAAAAGCACACTTTTTACCTCTCAACAGCCTGTTGATAACTGCATTCAATTTGATTCGCTAATATATACTTATACATACATAATTATATGTGTATATATATATAAGTTATATACAATGACTTTCAGCAATTTTTGCTCGATTATTATGGTGTACAAAGTAGGCAATAAAAAGTCAAAACTATCGCCGACTCACGACTGGTTGCACACTAATAAACTTAATCGAAGCTTTTTAGATACAGTTATAGATAGTTGTATATTGTTACTTGAAAATTGCACATTGCAATGAATTTTATTGAAGATGTTTTTGCTGATACTATTTACGGGTACTTTTTATTTTGTTGTTCTTTTGTTATATAAGTACGGCTTTATATTTCCATTTTATAACGACAAATGCATACATTGAAGATAATATTTCGCTCAGCAGACTGATAAAGAGTCACTTTAGTTTAAACTGGCTTCCGAAGCATAAATTTAGACTGTAGTATTTCTTATCAACCAGCGACCTCTGTAGAAAAATATCTTTTCAAATTTAGAATTTTAAATCACTGCAATAAAGATAAGATACAGAAATCATTCTCAATAGATAATTGACCGATATTTTCGTTTCATTACATAATGAAATTTCCGAAAGAGCTGATCGACGGATAAGTTGGAGATAATGGAATGCCTTAAGGGCATGCAGAATGCAAAAGCACATGAGAGAGACGCAAGACTCACCTCCTCTGATTCAGTCCAACTTTATTTGCAACTCGTCTTAGATATCTAGGAGCTTCGCAGTACAAATGACTAGCTGAAGTAACAAAATTAACTATCAAGTCTCTCTTAAAGTTAGCAAGAAGCGTTGATGTCCTGTGTGATGAGTACTTCAGCACGAATTAAACAAAACATCCAATTAATGACCAGTAGTTCTAAGTGTGGTGTAACTGTTGGCCAGTATAACATAACCTAACCTCTTTTACATTCGCTTTAAGAAAAAAATTTTACTTGGCAGACCTTTCGAGTCCTGAGAAAACTGTACTCCATTGTCAACTCTTGCTTTGTTCAAACTTTCATACAAAGAGTGAAATTATGGAGAAACTATAAGGGTTCCAGCAACTTTTTTGTTTTCATTTTTAATAAGAATTGTACGCATATGATTAGCGTCTATACAGTTATTACGGGCTCGTGCTACTTTTTGCATTTATTTGTGGTATTATGCAAATAAGGGAGGGCCCTTTAAATCAGTGTCCTCCAAAGAACTGCTAGAATTTTATGAATTGTTATCTTCAAATTAAAAACAAGCATTTTTTTCAAAAATCACTACATAACTACTCTATTTGAAAACATTACAAGTATTATTGCTGCCCATTTAGTGCACAGTAGTGATTTATTTTCATCATTTCTGCATATTTATTACTACTTCCTTCATCGTATGGCTTTTTGTTTTGTACATTTGTGCGTATTGCAGAATAAAGAGCATAGCCAATCTCCATCTGATTAGCTGTTCGTATTGCTATCAAACAGCGAGTAACTACTTGCTTATTGCAGTCACGTTCGAGAGATAGCATCTAGGCCGTTGGCATTTTTCACATACACATATACATGTATTTTTTTCCTAGCGTCTGTAAATATTTCCTGCTTTCCTTTTTGCCCCGACTCTCTCTGCAATATCGTTGCTGTCATTACATATGGACACGTCTGCCAATCCACAGCTGTCAAATGTCATGCTGCTTCAACACTGTCAGTGCCGTAAAATAAGATAAATGAACTGTTGGGCCGAGCTGAAGTTAAAACGGCGAAGAATTCATTATTTATAGATGTGGCGTGGTGTTCGCAGCTGCTGCAGTACTTATACTTAGCGTTAATATATCATGTTAGCACCATTTGATTTCAGGATATTGACTCACTTTTCTCACACAACTGAGATCGGCTATTAGCTGACCTTTACGCCGGCGCTATATGTTATTGCTATTGCTTTCATATGGGCTGTTGGATTGCCTTCTACTGAGATTTCGCGTGCCCTTCATATCTTGGCGCGCTATGGTTCGTCCTCCCATTTCACGCCTCTAGCAAGTACCCGTTTGTGCGTATTTCCCCAGCGTCCAATTCAATAAAATTTAGTACGTGTTGTAAGGGTTAATCGATGTTTAGTTGTTTGCGAGCAGCATTTTTATGTGCTGGTCGAAAGCGTTGCGATAAAAATGTATTTCGTGTATTGCTTTTATGTCCGGCAGGCCAAACGGATATTCAATGTTTGTGAGGAATATTCTTTTTTGTCAATAGACAATAAATAAATACAACAATATAGCATCGCTTACAAAATAAAAATATAAAATAATTGTTTTCATATGTGATCAGTTTGAGAAGTTGGTGTATTATTTAAATTTTCTATATAGAATATTGATTGACGAGTCTTTGCATGCACTATGAAAAAGATGTTGATCACTTATCCTAATAACTTATCCTATCGAATGATACTCTCTCAGTCTCTGTCTTCGTCTCTCTCTAAACGTGTGCGTGCGTTGACTTCTTGTCACAACTCCCTCCTCTCTCTTTTTCTCAGTTCAACTTCAAAAACTGTAATGTTACCTAACAAACCGATTTACTGAGCAAGCAAAAAAAAATAACATAAATACTAGGAAGCAAAGTAAGTATAATGAATTCCTAAGTTTTTCTAAACAATACTTCTCAGTTTATTCGTCCATAAATATTTTATTTCTCATAGCCTTAAGATGTTCTGCCTGATATAGCAAAATACGCCCTTTTCACGACGTTGCCTGAGACTACGAGTTGCGTCGAAAATTTTGTTGAAGACTTTTCTGATAATTTTTGTTTTTTTTAGACAGCTTCAACAATTATTTTTCGCATTGCGGATGAACTTATATATTATTATACGTTCTTTCTAAGCTACTAAAGAACGAAAAACTAATAAAGACAAAAAACAAACGTTAGCTTCGGTTCTTTAGAAGAACTTGATTCCAATCATTCAGCTTGTATGGCAGCAATATGCTATTGTGATTCGATCTGAACAATTTCTTTTAAAAATTCTGTTATTACTTTAGATAATAATGCGTGCCAAATTTCATGAAGATATCTCGTCAAATGAAAAAGTTTTCCATATAAGAACTAGATTCCGATTGTTCATTTTGTATGCCAGCTATATGCTATAGTGTTCCGATATCGGCCGTTCTGACAAATGCGCAACTTCTTAGTGAGGAAAGGACAGGTACAAAATTTCAGGTCGACAACTGAAAAACTGAGCGACTAGTTCGCGTATATACAGATGGACGGACAGACGACTGACAGACAGACGGACATGGCTAAATCAACTCAGCTCAACATGCTGATCATATATATAAATATATTTTACAGGGTGTCCGACGTTTTCTTTGGGTGTTACAAACTTTGTGGCAAACTTAATATACCTGATTGCGGAGCGTCTATACTTTCTTTGAGCTCGCTGACTGTGTGCAAAATTAATCAAAGAGAGGATAGCCTATTAGCAATAGTAAGAGGTCCCCCGAACTATTTACAAAGTCAATCACACGACTAAATACTTTGACAGACAACTTTTCGTCAAAGCTGTATGAAGGAAGGCGTGGCGGAATCATCTTGTCACTTTACTCTCTTTTGGCCGGCTTTTACCAAACTGAGATTGAAATATCTCGGTAGACACATCTTTGGAGAACATATATTATCTTACTTGCTTAAACGATTCGTCGATCTATGAAGTGATGCACCTAAAGGAGTTTTCGGCTAACACAGAGGACGAAGATATGTTCAAGTGAGATCCAACGATTTGTGGATCACCGCTACGACCTAATATAATCTGACCATATTAGCCGCCAGGCTGAATTTCACAACTAATCGGTTCACTTATCCACTATAGCCTTTAGTTCCAAGAAAATTTCCTAATCTCAAACTTAAAAACAAGGTTCTGTGACCATACTACTCGAATGGGCCTCGTAATGAAAAAATTGAATATTTTCACTCGGTGAGATCAAAATCTGCAAGTTTTGCCAGTACTTTCTGAAAAGCAGTCTAATAAGCGTAGTGTTCATCTTTAAGCCAAAAGTAGAGAGGTACTGCTTGATTCAAATTATAATAAGATTATAATATTTTATTCTTTTGTAAAACATTTGTCATCAGATATGTTCAAGAAGCTCCTTACAATCATATAGGCAAACACATTTACATCCATTCAAATTCCCTAATTTCTTCTATGTGAAACACACAATTCAGTTTACCAGAAAAAAACTCGGACATTTTTATTTCAGTTGAAATTTTTTCTCAAGTTGGCTGCACATACCATTTAGGTAACATACGAGTATATTTGATGGTTTATATAAACGACGTATGTATTTAGCTGCTCCTCCGCTCACGTGAATGCAATTTTGTTCAGTCTGCTGTGCAAATTTAATTAAAAAATTGTTTGTTACCATCTTTTCGTTTTTCGGGGTATTGAAAGCCAAGAAATATGCTTGCCATTTCGTAAGTGAAAAATTGCATGCGATTCATATTCAGATTTTATAACAAACTCTTTGCATGCATTGTTCAGAATGAGACAGAAGAGAAGTTTTTGTAATTGGAAATTATTATTATAATTAAAGGTAGTCTAAATCTAAGTATTTATGAAGTTACACTAATATGCTTCAGTAAAGTTATTGTTAGGCTTGTAAAATTTTTGTGATCTGATTCTGTGATATGTGGCGCTAACCAATGATATCACATTT